CCCGCTCGGATTGTGGTATCGAAAATGTATATGCAATACTATAAAGACACGATCCGGCGAAATCGTCGTGTATATGCTGTTATTGCTTGCTTGTTAAATATGTCTGAAAATTTAGCTTTGCTAAGTTTATCGTTGTGGACATCCATGGACAACTATCGGATTCATAGAAACTCCTTCGTTGTTTTTATTGCATGCAGTGAGTTTTATATGCTTATTTCTTATTTTCTCAACAAAAATGGCCGTAAAGCACCACTCTTACCGATGGAAGAAAAATCATTGATGTACAAAAGAAATTTATTTATAACAAACGTCACTGCATTTATTTTAGCCGGCTATTGTTTCCTGCGGCATAATTCGTTGTGCGAGGCAGGCGGTAAGTAACTAAATAACCAACTTATTGAACCGTTAAAGTAAAACATTTTATTTTCGTCACACAGTATATACTTTCTTTGCGCTTTTCGAGTATATTGTAGTGCTGACGAATATGGCTTACCATATGACTGCTTACTGGGACTTTCATGCCATGCATGTTACTTTTGATTGGGAGAGAGGACTTTATTTATCACAATTTTAATTAAAATTACATTGTATTAGTAGAATAATTTATGTACTATTGTCGAAGCTTTGTGTTAGCTTTAATGTAATTTTAGGTCGGTACTTTACTTAACTTTATAAAGCGCAAACTTTTTGTTTTACACAAACATTCGCAGGAAATAACTTTAAATCATGCGTTCCAGGTGCTCACGAAATTCACGATTTGCAGTTTTTTTTGCAGGAAAGCGTACCAGGCATTGTATAGGCTTACAAGTATGGAAAGCGCCATTTTGTTTGTTTACATTTGAAAACAGCTGAGATCACCTGATTTTCAATTCTCTCATTCTCCGCACAGAGTTACATTCAAGTTTCAGAAAAAAACTTTAAAATGTAAATTGAGAAATATTTGAGAAAAATCATATGAATTAATTAAATTAAAAATTCGTGCCAAGTTCTGCGTTTTCAATAATAACGATGAATGTGTATGTTCCAGGCAATAATTTAAAATATTTGTGAAACTCATCGTTTTGCGCTAAAATACAACAATATGCGTAAAATTTGTTGTCATTGTTTCCGTTTTGATTTGCATTTATTTTTATGAAAACATTCAAATATATTTCTTTCCAGAGCGACATACGGACAAGTGAGATGATAAATTTGTATGATGAATTGTAATTGCGCTTGTAGTCCCGACCAGATTTCTGGTGTCGGTTGACGCGCAGTGATACAGCTAAACACAGCTTATTTGAATTTGCGCCTTTTTTACTTTCCACACGTTCTTTTTCCTAGAAAACACGAACCTATAGAAATTGCCCTGTTATTGTGTCGAGACAAAACCTTCTTGGTGCGCACGCTGAATCTTCCCACGACAGCCGGTTCTACGTACCGGAATGACTCGGGTTTTACCCGACCAAGGGCTGTTGTTTCGGCGATCTAACCCCGTCTAGATCGGCGATACCCACCAATCATTATTCGTCCATGGAGCAATACCTTGCAGCCGGATTGCTCCGCATCCTTCTCCGGGCGGGCGTAGAGCCCAACCCCGGACCTGAAATTTACTTCTGCTGTGTTTGCCTGAATCGACTCCACCCGAACTCCACTTCGGTTAGGTGCAACTCCTGCAACGGATGGAGTCACCTAAGAACTTGCTCTGGCCTTAGGTCTCACCGGGAGTGGACCACAAACTTTGTGGCTCCCTGTTGCTCAAGCCAAATGGCACAATCAGCCTCCACGGCTACCCACTCGCGTAATGCACGGTTGCGACCTAGCACCCGAAGAGCCTGCACGGCCCCCAGAAGCTCCCCTGAGCAACAGCAAACCTCCCAACACACCCCACCCACACAACCTACCGGCCGGTCCCACTCGCGAGCGCGAGCCAACCAGCAAGTACTGGTTGCCCACACCATCTGCTCCGTGTGCCAGAACAGAATATACCGGAATGTGACATCAGTCAAATGCAACACATGCCTTGGCTGGTGCCACTTCCGGCTATGTTCTGGTCTACGCACCACACGCGAGTGGACTACCAACTACAGCGCCCCTTGCTGTAGTGCACCGCCGGCGCAGACAACAACGCCCACATCGCAGCCACCTACCATCAGGCTGCAACAGCAACTGCGTCAGGCGCAACAGGCCCAAGGTAGGCCCCACACCTCCCTCACTCCCCGTATCGCGACCAGCCTCCCAAGGCATACGAACGTACTCCAACTCAACTGCAACGGACTCCAGAGCAAGATTGAGGAGATAGCAGGCACGGCATATTGATAGCTGCGGTCCAAGAAACGAAGTTGCACAGCAACTCAACTTTGTTGGGTTGCGCCGCCTACAATGTGCTCCGTAAAGATCGCGAGCGAGATAATGGTGGAGGATTAGCGTTCATTCTACACCACACAGTGCAGTATCGGCTAATCGGAGAAGACATCGACCCAAGGGACACTACCCTAGAATGTCAGGGCATAGCTGTCCGGTCAGGCGATGTCGAGCTCGAAATATTTAACGTGTACATACCCCCTGTCACCTGCTGCCCGGCTGGATATCTCCCTGACATAGGTGCGCTACTCAGGCGAAAACCGACTGGTAGTAGGTGACTTCAATGCGCACCACGATCTTTGGCATTCACGCCTGGCCAATGATCGGAGGGGAAACATTTTGGCTGAGCAGATAGACGATTCGACATTCTGCACCATGAACGACGACGCCCCCACCAGGATTGTGGGCAGCTGCAGCAGCTCGCCAGACCTAACAATTGCTAGCGCTGGTCTGATAAATAGCATATCATGGCGACCTATGCTATCGTTAGCATCAGACCATCTGCCCATAATCATCTCGATCAATAAGCCCACCGACTTTGCTTCCGCGGATCACCGAACCTACACCAACTTTAACAAAGCTGATTGGAACGGATTCGCGGAAGTTACCGAGAGCAGCTTCGCCGCCCTCCCCACACCCACAGACGTACATGCTGGCGAACGCCAGTTCCGCAGGGTAGTCACTGCCGCAGCAGCTCGCTTCATACCGTCCGGACACATCGCGGAAGTCCGCCCAAATTTCCCGGCTGAAGCAGCTGTACTAGCAAATGAGCGTGACCACCTACGCCAGGTCGACCCCGGGGACCCTCGCTTGAGGGACCTTAATTTGGAGATTCGGCAACTGGTAAATCAACATAAGCGGAAAAAGTGGGAAGAGCACTTGAAGGCCTGTAATTTCACCTCTGGTGTGAGTAAGCTCTGGTCAACCGTGAGGTCCTTGTCCAACCCGACGAAGCATGATGACAGAGTGGAAATCTCATTCGAAGGTCACGCCTCATCGGACCCGAAGAAATGCGCGAACTATTTTAGTCGGCAATTCACACTGCATCCTTCGGTAGACAAGGCCAAACGTCGAGTGACCAGGAGGCTGCACAAACTGCCCAAAAACAGTGCACCACTTGTTTTCACCAGCGGTGAAGTGAAGGGGGCCATCGGGAAGGCGAAAGCCTCCAAAGCCATTGGACCCGACGGAATCTGTATGCTGATGTTGAAACATTTGGGGCCTGTGGGAGTAGCATACCTCACGGAGGTCCTCAATTTGTCTATGACCACTCTCATCATTCCTGATGTGTGGAAATCAGGGAGAGTGGTCCCACTGCTGAAACCGGGGAAGCCCGCCAACAGAGGAGACTCTTATCGCCCGATAACGCTCCTTTCCCCGGTCGCGAAGACACTTGAGGCCCTGCTGCTCCCATACTTCACCTGCCACCTAACCCCAGCGAAACATCAGCATGGCTTCCGTAAAGTGCACAGCACAACAACAGCACTTAACGCCATAAACACCCAGATAACTCGTGGCTTAAATCGCAACCGCCCCTGTGAAAGAACTGTCCTAGTAGCGTTGGACTTTTCAAAGGCGTTTGACACCGTCTGCCATTCCACGCTGCTAGAAGACATTGAGGCCTCGTCTCTCCCACAGGGACTGAAGCGATGGTCGGCGAATTATATGAGTGGTCGACAATCATCAGTAATCTTCAGAGATCAAACCTCGAAACCAAGAAGAATAAAACAAGGGGTTCCACAAGGGGGTGTTCTCTCCCCCTTACTTTTTAACTTCTACATCTCGAAACTCCCCCAGCCTCCTGAAGGAGTTTCCCTGATCTCGTACGCTGATGATTGTTCGATTTTGGCGTCCGGGAATGGAATTGATGACCTCTGCTCAAAAGTAAACGGTTATCTCTCCAGCCTTTCTCGCTTCACTGCAAGGAGCCTAACCCTCTCCCCAACGAAATCAACGGCGACCCTCTTCACCACCTGGACAAAGGAGGTCAGGCTAGAATTAGGCATTCACGTCGACGGCACACCTATACCGACGGTGAACAACCCAAAAATTTTAGGGGTTACCTTTGATAGCCTGCTCTCCTTCTCCGCGCACACAACCGCAGTTCTCAACAAAGTACAGAGCCGCAACAAGGTCCTCAAGTCGCTCGCCGGCAGCACTTGGGGCAAAGACAAAGAAACGTTGCTGGCAACATACAAGGCAATTGGCCGGCCGGTTCTAAATTATGCAGCGCCTGTTTGGTCACCGGGGACTAGTTGGACGCAGTGGACGAAGCTACAGACTTGTCAGAACGCTGCACTCCGGACAGCGACTGGGTGCCTTCTGATGACGCCTGAGCACCACCTACACAGCGACGCCCCAGTGCTCCCCGTACGGGATCACAATAAAATGCTCAGTAAGCAGTTTCTGGTGGGGTGTCACAGAAGCGAACACCCTAACAGACCACTGCTGGAGGAGGAGCCTCCGCCCAGGCACGTCAGGGGGCACCTATTCGTGTACAAGGACGCAGTCCAGACCTACACAGACCAACCACTGGACCCAATGACGTACAGACAAGCGATTAACGACATTCATAGGGAGTCAGTCTCCACCTACCTCGACTCCAGGCCTAAGAATGTCGTTATCGGAGCCCAATCACCACCTGTGGAAGAGACGGAGCTTCAATTACCTAGAGAGACCCGCGTTACTCTGGCTCAGTTACGGTCTGGATATTGTAGCCGCCTAAACAGCTACCTGTCCAGACTCGACCCAAACATCCCAAATGAGTGCCCGGCATGTGGAGACTCCCCCCACGACACCAACCACCTCTTCACATGCCAGCTCAATCCGACTCAACTAACACCCCTCTCCCTTTGGTCCGACCCCATCGAAACAGCTCGTTTCCCGGGCCTACCGTTAGTTGAGCTCGACGATAATGATTGAAAAGTTGACCCGAAACAGGCGGGGCTTAGTATTGCCGCTACAACAACAACACGCTGAATCTTTTCAGTCTTTCCTCTTCAAGACGTCTCACAGTGAACATCGCAGTAAGCTTTATAGCCCGAACACACTGAAAACGACGAGCTACAAACCACAGCTGTCAAATTATTTTAACACGTACTCTTATGTAGATAATTATTTTGGCGACGACCGGGCTACGCGACGGCTGTGGTTGTGGCCAGATTAGATCTATTTCTATTTTTCTGGCGACAGATAAGGTTCTTCCTCTTCTTTTATGTCAAACTCATACAAATTCATGATGTCGCTGCCGAGTTCAAAGAAATCATGTTGCCATCGACAAAGCGCTTAGATAATAAAGATGACAAATTGGAAGCTGTGGTCGGTAGCTCGTCGTTTTCAATGTGTTCAGAACTTTAATTTTTACAAGGAAGTAAAGTTTTGTTCGCGAACCATACACAAGCAGGTAAGCAGGATTTCAAAGAGAGAAAAAAAAAGAAATGAACCATTCCACATACGACTATTAAAATTTCTTTAACATACCTTGTAGGATTTTTCAATCGAAACGCTTGATTGGTTTCTGGTCGCAAACCACATTGGATTCATCCACTACAGGGGCATTATAAGTACTTACTTGAAAAAGTGTACTCCAGTGCCAAGTCCAAGTCGGGTAAATAATTCCATCATATATCGTCGGCTTAGAGTGTAAACCTGCTAAATCCGTTTTTTGGCAAAATTGACTTTTTGATGCAGTTCGAAGGAGTAGGCGATTCCGCAGTTGGCAAGCAAAAAAATACGTCAATATAAAAATTTAATTGTCAAAAATTGTTTGATGAGTAAAGCTGCTAAGTACAATCAGTTCAAATTCAACTGCTAAATCCAACATATTGTGCTTCTGTCGCTCGATTATTGTTCTATCTTAGAGTATTAAGCTTGGAACACTTTGACGACAGCAAGCGACAAGCAGCATCTGTCAAATTTTAAATACACACGTTCTTACGGACACAATTATTTTGACGACAGCACGACATCTTGGCTGCAGGACTGCAATTGTCGACGTCGCCAAATTAAATCTATTTCTAATTTTGCCGGCGACAATGAGTAGATGTAGTGCTGCAAAATTAAATTGTCGCAAAATTAATCACATATTCTTGATTGTTCATGTTTTTCTTATTTACTTAAATAAAAATACACAATTTGTGAAATAAATATACCAAAATGTCAAACTTTAAAATCAGCTGTTTGCTATGTCGCTGAGGTCTTCAAAATGTTTAAGAAGCTGGCTTCAAGGCGACATTTGTCGACAAAATGATGTCGCTGTCGTTACGTCGTGAAGTTGCAGTCGTCAAAGTGTTCCGAGCTTTACTTTATGCGTTTAAGCCAAGGTAATAGTCAGCGAATAAGATTTAATTTTTTATATCTCAAGGAAATTATTGTTACTTGTGGAACGAAACAGAAGGAAGATTAAATGCAGAAGAGTTTTCCAGCGTGTGGATGGATTTGATAGAAAAAAATGTAGTACCAAATTCTTTTTGGTTGTTTGTGTTTCCGACAGGGTAGGAATAGTACCAAATAATAGTCCCGGGGGGCAATTACAGTAATTTTTTATAGCGACGAATGCACATATCAAAACCGAAACAGTATTATGGCTAATGCTTTGTTATCCACAGCTATAAATAACAATATCATTATTGAGCAAAAGTTTCTTGAAGTAGGCCATACCCAAATGGAAGCTGATTGTATCCATTCCACTATCGAACGAGCACTTAAGAAAAGAGATATCCATGTTCCTGCAAAATACATTGAAGTATGTAGATCAGCTAGAAAAAATCCAAAACCATATGACGTAACTTATCTTAGTTACATGTTCTTTAAAAGCTTTAACACAGTTCAATTCTTTAATAGCTTTCGTCCCGGTCGCGGCAAAGATGCTGCTAAAGTAACTGACATACGAGCCCTACCGTATACAGCAAGTGGCGACATACATTTTAAAGTAAGATTCTCCAACAAATGGGAAGTAATACCGCAAAGAAAATCCCCAGTAGCTGTTTCCTTGCCGTTTTCTCATCTTCCGAATTTATACGAGAGTAGGCGTAAGATTGCTCGCAGAAAGTATGAGATCTCCAGTATTTCAAACGATTACTTCCTGAAGATTACCACGCCTACTATAACAATTTACCTCATGATTGAATAATATGTATCATACTTTCTGGCATTATTGAGTTCCTACTTAAATTATCTTATATGTGGTCTTTGTACTATTAATTTGTATAGTTACTAATATATGTTTTATAAACTGCCTATTTTTGTTGCAATAAACGGAAGAATAAACCTGTTGTATTTTTTATATATATATAATTGCTTTTATCTATGGAATACTATTTTAATTAATATTTAAATTGAGCTTGTAATCACAATAGATAAAATAGAAACAATTTTATTCATACAAAAAACCTGCTAAATCCACTTCAATTTTGAAAATACAAAAACTTAAACCTGCTAAGTTAGAAATTCGCCAATAAAACCATAAAAACGTATTTTTTTTCATTCGTTCTGGATTAGGGCCATAGAACGTCGCGCGATTAACAAACTATATGTAGGATTTGCCCATTACGACTAAGAGTTAAAGATATATTTAGTTTTTTGCCTTACAGTAAAATATGGTTTTTGGTCGTTAGCAGGTTAACACTCTAAGGCGACGATATGCCAGCAGATAGTATAAAAAAAGTATAACTTGCGTTTTACTTACATACAGTGACGGGCAAAACTGTAACATGGTGTAACACTTTTTATTTCAGTCATCGACTTTCATTAATGTAAATCAAGGCAGATGTTACAGTTTTGCACTCATATATTTTTAAGAACTTTTTAACAATTTTAACAAGAAAAAAAGAACTACTAACACAATGTTCAGTACCCTTTTGCTTGTTTTAGTTTCTGGGTGCGATTTGGCGTACCTTATTTTTATCTCTGTAAAACTTCTGGAGGTATATCCTCCATATGTCCTTAGTTTGCTTTCACAGCTCATGTACTTGATTATACGGACTTGGATACTTAATAAGCTGTGCTTCTAGTTGATTTCGCAAATTCTCGATGAGATTTATATCCGTGGAGGTCATTTCAAATTAGCAAATTTTTTATTTTGTATCCAGTCTTTGCGAACATATGGAGTATGTTTTGGGTGATTTTTCAGCAGAAACTCATTTTTCGACTACATCTTGCAAATTTTGTTGAAATATGAACAGATACTGTTCCTTACGCATAATGCTTACTAACGGACCCACAAAATTGTTTAAATACAACCCCAAACTATTATTGACCGACTACTGTGATTCACAGTTTGCCTCACATGTTGCGCATGGGCTTAATTTGGGTCTTTGATCCAATATCATGCCCGGCCATCTGATTGAAAGCAATTAATTGAGTCTTGTCAGACCAAATAACCTTCAATTGAAACTTAAAAATATGTTTTTTATTGCATTCTGAAAGGCCTAACATATCCCAATAGGCAACGGTCCGGTTTTCGGGCTACACAGCAAAATGCTACCACCCTCGCACATATATTTTGGTCAAATTAGCTTTTTCCTTCTTTTATGATGCCTTTGCGCCAATTTGGCAATTCGTCGCCTCGCTGTATACTGATTTGCATTAAAGTTTAATACCTTAAGCGCTTCTGTAATAGTGGCTGCATCGCTACTTGCTGCTAAGTTCACAAGATATTGGACCGTAATATTTTTTGATAGACTTCCTTTGCCCTTGGGAACACTTTAGGTTATATTCACCCTCATTGCGAGAGTCGTGTCGAATGCCAGTCGTTTTTCGAGAGTCGAATCGTATCGAAAATTGCACGTCATTGCCTAAAATTTCCACTCGACTAGTGTATTAAAACGGAAAAACTTGGCAGCACTGTATGGTTTTCGACGATTTTGGTCGTTTACTTATTTCATTACGACAATAGACAATGCTACTGTTGTCGAGTCGTACAATTTAGCCTAATTTACGACCTACGCAATGAGGCTGATTTTTTATCAGTTGGGGTGTTCACAGTTCGTTCCAAATAGTGTCTCAAAATGTAGACGTCTACATTTTAAGACGTTTTCTAACCGTAAAATCTGTGGTGTTGTTGTTTCCCATACAAAATTGGAAAACGACGCCGTTTACATTTTGTCACACTCAAAGGTATGTTTTTTACGCGTCTACATTTTGCAACCTCGCAGCAGGGTTGCATTATGGCAATACTAATCACATTTTTTTTATTTATTGGGCACGTTTTCCGTATTTGCATTTAATTTGAGCGCAATTTCTGATGAAAAGAAACAAATCAAGGAAAAGGAATAACAAATATTACGAATTGGTAATTAAGTTAAATAATTACAATTTTTCAGAAACAAAATCGAAAGGCGACATATAAACAATGCACGCAAACAAGAAATGTCTGGCAACACCAGCAAAGTTTTGAGACGATTTTGCGACGACTGCTAGCAAGGGGTGCTCACAGTTTGATGCTAAAAATGTCTCAAAATGTAGACGTCTACATTTTCAGACACAATTTGGAACGAACTGTGAACACCCCAATTCTAAATATTTTCAAGTAGCAAACTCCACAATTTTTTGCCACTTTCCTGCGGTCCCGCCTTTCCACAGTAAATCTTTACATTATTATTATTTACATTTATGGTTCCTGATTAACTATATTATTTACTGGTGATTACTTCTTCAATAAATTACAATACAGAAAAAAGTCATCTGACTTCCAACTAAGTAAAAAATAACTGTAAAATGCAAAACTGAGAGTGAGAGTGCAAAACTAACATTTGCCTTAATTTACATTTTTGTCTGCTGGGTTTTTATTGTTGTTGTATTGACTTCAAATCGTTATGAGAGAGGGAGTAGGGATGTACCAACAAGAATATACACATCGGCGTAGCCAGAATGAAATTTAGGGGGGGGAGGCTCGACCCAATTAAGCTGGCATTTCAGGGTACTATTTTATATATAAGTTAAGGACTGAAGGTCCTGGACAACAAAAAAAATTAAAGGGCCAACTTGCCCTGGAATTAAAAGAGGTAATTTAAACGTTATAATAAAAGGTCTTTATTGAGATAAGTAAATAAGCCTAATTGACTATAGTAACACCCCGATGCAACTGCCGCTGCTCCGAGTTCTGCCGCCCTTTATAGCCTGTTCCGCTGCCGTTGTTCTATAGCCAGACATAGGCGACGTCAGTGAGCCGCCTTGGCTTTAAATTCCCACAGGTAACTTGTAAGTTTCAACACACTGATTTCACAACCGTGTGAAATGAAATTATGCTGACACCGCTGCAATGCCTAATGCATTGGCTCCGTTATAGTAATGGTTGCGTAAGCATTAGCCAGAGGTACTAACTGTGGCCGACGGTTCCCATAGGTGTCTGATAACGTTGTGCAATATTGCTATTGCATGATATGATGAAATACATTTGGCCTTGACAAAGGTGTAGGATGTCAATTATGTTGTGAACCACAATTATGCTGACATGGCGCACGTGTATTGCTGGACTGTGGGAATGCAACATGTTGGGTGACGGCGGATGTGTTAACTTATATATAAGGAAAATTTTAAAGTTAGGGGGGGCGGCTCGAGCACCCCCCTACCCCTAGTGGATAATGTAAAACTTCAGTAAGTTTCCTTCGGATATAAATGGACGACTTATTTTTGATAGCGAATAATTTTGCGAATTTTGAAAACTTGTCTACACAGCTCAGAAACTTCTGTTTTCCAATCTCGAAAATATCCATGTGAATGATCTCGCATGGGTAGCTGGGAATCGGTGTCGGCTGGAGGTGAGGCTTAGCCGGATGCCTGTCATATTTATTAAGCTTACACACTTCACACTGCCTAACATAATCCCTAATTTGTTTTGACATACCTGGAAAGTAGTATTTTCTCGAATCTGCTCTCTATTTTCCTTCGGATTCCTGTGGGTTCTGCGATGCTCTTCCTCGATTATATCGAATATTCTATCAGGGATGGTCACGTCTTCCACTAGGCGCTGAGTTATCCTGATCCTATACCTGTGGAAATTATTAGCATACATCGAGATTCCTGACCTACTCTAAATATCACCTGATTCCTAAAGACGTTTATGGGGACCTCGACGTGTGGTATAAGATCGGAACTATCCTGTTCAGCGGAGTGCATTGTTGCTACCTCATCACTATTTCCTATTTCGCTTCCTGACGGTTGAGCCACCACAGAATCCGTTAAGGCGTTGAGTTCGGTCTTAAGACGGGAAAGAGCATCCGCGACCACATTAGCCTTCCCTGGCTTATAAATTATTTCACAGTTATATTCTTCGATGCGTGCTTTCCACCTCTTTAGTTTTGCATTATAATTGCGACAGCTTAAGGAAAATGTTAATGGTTGATGATCTTTGCATAATCCTTAATGAATTTCCTATAGTACGAAGTCATACCCAAGAAACTCTTCAGGGCTTTCAGATTTAGGGGAGGTGAAATCATTTATAGCTTCCACCTTTTTTGGGTCAGCTCGTATACCATCTGGAGTAACTACATAGCCAAGGAATTCAACTTCCTTTTCGAAAAAACATGTTTTGTCTAAGTTTACCTTTAAATTTGCTCCTAAGAGTCTTGAAAAAACCTTTTCTACGTTGTCTAAATGTTCGTCCGCATCTTTTCCAAATACTATAATGTCATCAATATAGACAAAGCAATGTATTGTTTCAATACGTCGTCAATCATTCTTTGGAAAATAGCGGGCGCGTTTTTCAGTCCAAAGGGTAGACGTAGGAACTCGTATTTTCCGTTCATCGTTGAGAAAGCGGTTTTAGGTATGTCTGAGTCCTTCACTGGTATTTTGTGAAAACCAGACGTCAAGTCTATCGTAGTGTAATAATTAGCCTGTCCGAGGTTACAAAGTGTCGCGTTTTTGTCAGGGTTAAGATACGTGTCTGCTCACGGTGCAGCGAACAAAGGTGGCGCCGTCAGTGGTACCGCTACTTTGGTTTTGCCGATTTTGACAGTTGTGGTAACTTGTAAATAAACCTTTGTTTACAAATCAGCGAAGAGAAATTTGAATTATAAGCGAAAAAGCAGTTTAAATTGTGTTAATTTACAATTTGTGAGTGATTTTTGAGTTGAAGACTGCGTAAAAACTAATAAAATGAAGTGATGTGTGCTAAATTGCGACAGCCATCAAGATACAAGATGCGTAGATGCAAGTGTAGCGCTGGGACGAATCGCTGCATTTTGTGTACATAGGTCACGGCAAAGCCGTTCTCGAAATTTTTTTTTTA